AGCTGAATTTTTTGTATGTCAACAACCTTACAAATTTGAGTAACCTGAATAGACAAACATTTCTTAATCCATCCAATCTAATTAGGGTCTGGATGTTATTTGTTTGACAGCTTCAAATGATGTACTAGCTTCTTAATCAGATTCTCACAACTGCAACTGTCTATGATCAAATTGCAAACAATATCACTAGTTTGAAAGATCATTTCACGCAGAGTTAAATCTTCCTGCTTAGGCGAGCATAAGATTTTATCCACAACACATACAAAATCTTCTTGTTCTTCTCCACGAACTTCATCAATGTATTCTTCATCCTCCTTATCTCTGACATTTGACTCGCTTTCTTCTACTGCAAGTCTCCTGTTATTTTCTCTCCGAAGTTACAAGCTCCACAATCCATTCTTGGTTGATTTCCTTATTACTAGGTTGACCCATTGTTTCCAACAACCTGTAACAACAATTGACGGATCTCTTCGATCTGAATAGTAAGATCGTCAAATCATCGATTTTGAGCATCCAAATCTGCTCTAGTAATTGGTGTGTTACCCATGGATATAAATCAAAGATATAGAGACAAGAAAAGCATGTTCTGATACCATCTGATGCGAAAATGTGAATAATAATAAAAGCATCTTGTTCGTAACATACGAACGGGTGTTTGGTCGAATTTTGCTCTAACGGACGTTATAACTATTTGGTATCCACCAAATAAATATTGAAATCAACCAATTAACGGAAAAAACTAAAATATCTTATTAATCAAGAAAAAATATCTAATTTACAAGCTCCAAAACACATATTTAAGAACTCAAAACAAATCCTAATCCAAACGGAACTCTTATTTTATAGTAAATTCAACTAAATCTGGAAACTAAAGAAAAACAAATCCAATTAAAACTAAAAAACTGCAAAAGATAAAATATCCTTAAACTATCTAAAAATATGAAAAATGTTAAAACGGACCAATAAACGATGGAATTTGATCGTGAAAGTTCCGGAAAAATTATGTAGAATTGAAAAACGTTTTTAGACTGTACTCATTGACGAAAATCCAACATTCGAGTTGAAAGTTATATTGTTTTTGTAGATCCTCCTAATTTTTCTCTTTTCCAATTATGAATTTTTGTTATTTTCTCTGTTAACTGTCCCATATTATTATTCATGGTAAAACGGTTCTGGTTTAAAGAATCTTGCGTGGTTTTTCACTTTTTCTTGTGTGTTTTTCATGGATATCATAGGCTATTTATATTTATATTGGTAAATACCAAACTGGCAAAGAATGCAATTTTTTTCCCTGGAAAAATTATGTAGAATTGAAAAACGTTTTTAGACTGTACTCATGGACGAAAATCCAACATTCGAGTTGAAAGTTATATTATTTTTGTAGATCCTCCTAATTTTGCTCTTTTCCAATTACGAATTTTTGTTATTTTCTCTGTTAACTGTCCCATATTATTATTCGTGGTAAAACGGTTCTGGTTTAAAGAATGGAATTTGATCGTGAAAGTTCTGGAAAAATTATGTAGAATTGAAAAACGTTTTTAGACTGTACTCATGGACGAAAATCCAACATTCGAGTTGAAAGTTATATTATTTTTGTAGATCCTCCTAATTTTTCTCTTTTCCAATTATGAATTTTTGTTATTTTCTCTGTTAACTGTCCCATATTATTATTCGTGGTGAAACGGTTCTGGTTTAAAGAATCTTGCGTGGTTTTTCACTTTTTCTTGTGTGTTTTTCATGGATATCATAGGCTATTTATATTTATATTGGTAAATACCAAAGTGGCAAAGAATGCAATTTTTTTCCCATCAAGTTGGAAATTGAACTCTGCAGAAAACTCTTGGACTTGAATCTGCACAATGATTCGTATTAACTAAAGAAAAAAAGACTTGAAGAGAAAATAATACATGAAACAAAAGCCGGTCGCAAAATGGAAAAGTGTCCCAAGAATTTTGTGCTAGTCCGAGATATCTATTAAACAAGTCAAATTGTAAGATACGTGACCTTTTTTTTTTGTTAAAGCACTAATGTCGTAATATGATTATAGCAATTAGTGAATTTGACACCAAAGACGAAAGATGACGTATGTTGGAATTGTTATGTAAACATTGTCAAAGCATCATTTTGAATCTTTGATATTTACACTGGCCTCAAGTAAATCAAGTAATGCGCAATACTATGTACACTAGATGTTGGTCGCATCTTTGCATTCACATACAGCCAAAATGTCTAGTTACATACAGGGTCCCTTGACAAGAAAGAAGAATTAAAAAAATACCAAATCCATTAAGCTATTCGAATGATGACTTGCGCACCGCCATTACAATAGGGAAGAAGAGTTGGGGTTCACGACTATATGTTTGAGCGGCTGGTCAACATCACTGCCTCCTGCATGCTTGACAAACTCAGCTGGTGAGAGGAAACTTCCGTGACATATGCACATTATCCTCACTTCTTCTCCTTTTCCGTATTTGTACAGTATTCCATCCACTCTTCTACCATTAGGTCCATCTCCTTTTGTAAAAACGCCAGGCATATCTTGCATCATGTTCATTCCACTTTCCTTTCCTCGATTTCTCAAAATATCCGATCTTTTGGATGGACTCTCCATATCGGATCTAGTCTTTCTGCTGGGATTTTCTCTCGTCTTTGTTCCGAACGAGCCAACATTCTGATTGCTTCCTTCTTGCATAGACTGGATGCTGGCGGGGCTAAGCTCGGCACCGCTGCTGGATCCTGCAATGAAAATGGATAAAAACTAAAAAAGAAACTGTCTGAAGACGTATCAGAGAAAACTACCAGCCAACAAATCAAAAGGTGTTAATGATACGCAATTATCTTCAACAAGGTATAGTACCTAATCAATAATTATCTGGTAGTACTCGCAATGATATTAAAATTACATATATTGATACTGAACTTTAAGAGATAATGCTGCTAAGCACGTTAATGCTACAACCCCTAAGCAAAATATGCGAAAACCTGCAAAACGATTGAAACCACTCAAAGTAAGCCAATGAAATATCAGGCCAAACTGCTGTTGAATCAAATTCTTTTGAATCCCCTCCCAGTTTTTCCCCAGTAACTAGTACATCAGGCTTTCCAGCGACGGGGTTTCTTGCTACTTCATCATCAACTACTCGATAAATATGTATCAATACATCATTTAATAGATTAGCCACTGCTTGAGTGTGTTCATGTTAAACTTCTGGAGGCATAAAATATGTTCCTTATCCACTTGAGAAATGGTTGTAATCGGTGGACTCAATAGTTATAACAAATTTGAAGGGACCAAAGTGTTAGGAAATAGAAATATACTGTATCAGCATTCAGCAGTACATACAACTTCAATCGTTAAAGAGATTAATGACTATAAGCCCAGCCAAAAATGCTCTTCAGTCTAGTTCCGGCTAGATAAATAATTTTCACCCTTCCGTTTGTGCTTTCCTAAAACATCCAACAAAATCAAACTTCTTCCAACCCATAAGGTATATGTAGCTACTCTAGTAACTGTTTTACGGAACTTTTACTTAAGCTTGAGTATCTTCCAATCGCGTAGAACCATAAAAACACTTCTCAATTTCATCAAATCTGCTCTAATCCTATGCATCATGTATTTTTCTTAATCTTGAATTATTAATAATCAAACTCAAGTACCTAATGCAATCGCTCTAAGTGCAGCATAACCCTACTACAAGGTCCAAAAAAACATTGAATCTTGTGATTCGAGTAGGACTCGGGGACAACACATTGTGACCATTAACAAGCATTCACATGAAAACAAGAAAACTGTATATCCTTATAATTCGAAATTTAAATTCGATATTATACCTTGTAGAGTTTTCCTATCCAATTCGGACAAAGTTGAAGAACTCCCAACTTTCGACCCCACTGATCCTTGCGACGCTAACTGGCCACACTCTTCAACCCCAGCGCGAAAATCTGCCCGACTAGCGGCTGTAGTAGAAAACCGAAATGGCTGTGCTATCAACGAATCTAACCTCTTCGATGCAGCCAAAAACTTCTCTTTATCCAATCTCTCCCTCAAATTCACCTCAATTTCCCTTTTCTCCTCCAAACTCAAACTTCCGGCGGCGGCGGCACCATATCCGCCTCCGCCTTCTTTATCACCCTTAACATTCTTCTGCTTCTCTGACCTCCTCCTCTTAGCCTCCATTCTTCTCAACATCTGCAACTCCTTCCTCTTCTTCCACTCCTCCTCAGTCTCCGTAGGCAATGAAGAGGTCCTCACCAGCCCCGAATGCGCCACCACATCATTGTCATCTCTCACCACCGGTAAACACTCTGCTATAGAAGAAGATCTCGTCAACTTCTTGAAACCCTTGTCGACACCAAATCTTCCCCCCAGTGACAACCCAAGATTCAATTCGATCTCCTCTTCTTCCTTCATTTCTTCGCATTCACTGCTACTACCCACAAATCTCTGCAACAAATCTCTTGAAGAAGATCTGTTTGTGGAAACCTCCGCATGAAAATTCCGCACTTGTGCTGTTCTTATAATCTTCTTCCTATCATTATTGTCCTCCATTTAACCCCACAAATTTACTCCTTCCAAGAAAACTACAATGACATCTAGTTCAACTATAAGGATATCTACATGCATGTTTAAGACCTTCAACATTTGATCTACACAATACCAGATGAAAATTTCTGAATTCTAACTGCCTCTTAATTTCTAGAAGCTCCAAGAATGAATTTTAAAGACAATTAAATTGAGATTTGAGAGTAAGAACTCCACCTCAGAGGATTATCTTAAATTTAATATCAATTAACCAAGAGAGTATAAAGATTTCTAATTAGAAATATATCAAAAGTCTAATTTTTATTTTAAGTCTTGATTACAACGTCAATTGATATAATTAAGAAAAAAAATCTTTTTTGTTATTTTCTCTTACTAGACAAATAAGTAATATAATATTACCAAAACTAGATCAAGCGGAACGTGTCAACAATGGATTGAATCAGGTGGAGACAGACACGTTTCATTGACGATATTGATGATATCTATGAGTGCCACGTTTATTGCGGCCATTCTTTGCCGTACTATTCGACTTAATTAATGTTTAAATTCCAACCCCACCTAGCTGTTGTCCAACCACTGTCTCTTGATATATTATTCTACTTTTTATGGGCCAATTATTTCAACCTATGTTACGATGGGGGAGATTTTTTTTTTCCTTGAAAAGTAATGTATATAGTCAAAGACTTGAAAAAATAATGAAAAACGTGAAAAATATATGATTAAATTTAAAAATGAGCGTGAAAAAAATAATTTAAATTTATTTATTTAAATACTATATATTCACATTTAAACAAGAACTTCCCAAAATCTCCACTGAAACAGCTTTCGACGAAAGGGTTTTTTTTTATATCAATAGGCACTAGATCATCGACCTCTACATCGCTCAAAACAGCATCATTCTCATCCGCACTAGCCATTAATTTATATATACATTCAAATTCTCTCTCAATACAAATTTCATTATAAAGATCCATTTTTTATAATTTTAAAACAACAATTCGAGAATTATCAATTATGGAAACAACGGGGGGGGGACATAACAATTATGGCTTGGGGTTTTTGATTGATTTCGTTTACAGTAGCACGGAAAAGAATGATTGAGAGAATACTAATCAAAACCCACGAAACGAATCTTCAATAATTGTTTGAAGGAATATATAGGAACGATGATTATGAACTAAGAAATAAAATTGTACTTTTTTTTTTTCAATAATTTCTAGAGGCACATTGCAGTAACTTTCAAATTTTTTTTAGCAGATGAATTTCAGAGTAATTGATATTATTCTTGTCTATTTAAATAAATTTACATAAGATTAAAATATGTAATATAGATTTTTTTTTTTTTAAATGTGGATACACGTCTAAAAATTATGAATGAAAATAGAGACTCCATAAATAATATGTGTTAGTTTAATAGTGATCGTGAGTACTGAGTACTTCATATTCAAGAAATAATGCACATGTTAATTTAACAATAGTAAGGTCTACTCGAGTTCCATACCACGAGAGGATGTGTCCACTTAATTTTTTTGTAAATTGTCTTCACTCTTTCTCTACATCGTCGTTCATGAACCTATAGGCTATTACCCAAAATTAGTGCGATTCACAATTCATCTGGGATGTCTTCTCTCAATTTCTATTTTACTTGTCACGTATTCAATAATTTATATTGTTACATTGAAAATGCTCTTAGATTAGGAGCATTGAATTTGGCCTTCTACTGATCAATTACATCTCCTTAGTGGAGACGAGTAATTACACGTGACGATATAGTCATTATTTGTTACTTCGATAAAGATACTTGACATCATATGAAATAAATGAGAAATCTTTTGCTTGTCGATGTTGGCTTTGGCGAATAGGTGCGTCAAACAATTACTAAGTTATCTAGCATATGTTTGGCTCAAAATATATAAAAATATATGTTTAAATATTCAAATCATCTTTCAATCACGTACTTGAATAAGATATAAATATTCTTCATTAATTTTCTATTTATTTTTATCTATTTATAATCTAAATCTAAACACTTTAAAAAATTCTCAATGAAGCTCAAATGGGACGGACACGTGGGTGGTAAAAATTGTATGTACTCTTTTGTGGGGTGAGCAGTGGATATCGAGCGTTTGTTTAGTCAACATTATGGAATGTCGTTGATTGAAATTTATCCAAATGGGTAGTTACTCTTCATTATTGGAGGATAAGCTGGCATCCTGCATATGGTCCTCAAAATATCCAATCATTGTGGGGGTTATTTTTTGAGAAAAAAATAATTATTTTTAAAAAGTAATTTTTCGAAAAGTAAATCGTCCGAGACCCCCACACACATTTAATTAATCATTGGAGAATGGTTATGGTGAAAGGGAAGGTATATGGACGAACTTATAGAGATTATGCGATGTTGCAAAAATTAAGAAAAAATGGCAGGTCTCATAAAATATTATGATTTGAATATGTAATTTGAGGTGAGAGAGAGGGAGAGTTCCCTGTTCAATTTGTATTCAAGTGGATATTATGGTAGGGTTATGTGTGTCACGTTTATCGGGACCACAGTGCAATGGATACATTAGGTTGGGGACGGAAATGATTAAAAAAAGAATTTGAGACCTATTTGCAGTTGACTGTATCTAATTTAAAAAATAGTTGAAGGGAAGCCCCCGGCGAGGTTCGAACTCGCGACCTTTCGCTTACGAAGCGAACGCACTACCACTATGCTACGGAGGCTTCTTGTTGTTGGTTTCTTTCTGTCACTTTTTTGTTGCAATTTCTAAAACTTCCTTGAGCTTGTTCCATGAGACTAGGGTTTACAGAGAAAATAAGCATAGAGGTTTGGAATAGGACTGATTGTCCGTGGAATTTTTCGTTCAATTTTCTTGCAAGTATTTTCAATTCATTTTCTGTTCCAAGTAGATAATTATTTGTTAAAAATGCAACCTTTGTTTTCGGAGGATGACATAAAAGCAGCTCTGCAAGGGAGGGGTCCCGACCGCTTGGGAACGAGAAATATTTTGCTTCATAGCCAAATTGGAAAAGATTACAGTACTTTATCTTCTTCTGTTGAGAATGAAGGGGCGGTAAAAAATGGATTTGTGAATTGTGAGTGAGCATTTCGGGAAATTGCAATTTATTGGTGCAACATTGCTACTTAGAGGAGTCAATCCTGTTATTCAGCCGTTGGTTGATGCATCGGGCAAAGTTTTTTTTGAAAAATAAAAAGGGAAAATTACCATAAATCAGGTGTTTAGTTGTAAATTTTAAAAAATCAGGTTTAAGGTTTATCTATTCAAAATTAGGTATTTTATTTTATATATATAACCATAAACATGGGCGGAGCCAGGGGTGGGTTGTAGCCCACCCTTGCCCAAGCCCAACTTCTGGAAAATTTTTTTATTTCAAGCCCAATTAGGCAACCCACCTGTCCCAGCCCATTTGAAAGAAGGAAACCCAATTTGAACCCCACATAAAACAACCCAATTCCCACGAATCCCACCCAAACCCTCCCTGGCTCCCCACGAAACCCAAGATTTGAACCCCACATAATATTCTCTCGATTTCTACTCTCTTCCAACTCGCCGTCGCCCGACATTACCGCCGTCCACCGTCCGCTGAACCTGAAATCCATCTGCTGAAAGCCTGAAACCCTTTCTCGCTGTTCAATTTCATCCGGTAAGCAGCCTGCTAATTGTTCTTCACTTCTTCTTCTTCACTCTTCAATTTCTTGTGTTTTGTGTAATTATGTTTAATTTCTTCACTATTCCGGGTTTAATTTCTTTTGTTTTGTGTTTAATATCTTGTTTCAGTTTCATTCCGAGTTTCATTTTCGCCTGCGTCCTGCACTGAGGACTGAGGTATGTTTTCTTCACTTATATGAAACTTGGCTGTATGATTTGTTGTAATTTTTTGCTTGTGAATTCTGAAACTCAAATCATTCTGGGACATGTGACTTATTGATGTTCAATCTCAATGCCAGTAGACATTTGAAAAGTTTTTCCATTTGAAATGATTTACATTTTTTGTATGCTATTTTTTGCCTTTTCAGAGACCACCACTTTGTTTTTGTTTTCAATGTTGAGATTTATTTCTATTTTCGTCAATATGAAGGATATTAGTGACTGTTTAACAAGAATAATCTGGTTATCATTGAACAAAGTCTATGGTTTAGTATATAACTACATTTTATTTCAAGATTTTGTTTACTGCAATGCTCAGTTGTTCGGCCTATATATATTACAACTTAAAAGTTATTGCAATTGAAGTTGTCTATATCAGTACTGCATCATTAACGAATTTGCAGTTGGAAGAGGGATTTGATTTGATTTGCTAAGTTGCTTTAGGATTTAGGCATTTATTTAGGAAATGTTAGTTTGAGAATTTAGCCAATAAATCTATCCAAACCCTACATTAATCCATTTCATTTCTCTCACTTTCTCTCACTATCGTCTCTCATTCCCCTCTCTCTGCCCAAACCGTAGCTCCGTCGGGAGGGGCATTGCTCGCCGACACTGCCCATAGCACATGTGCGCCTTTGTAGGTGGTGGTGGATCTGCGACGTGGGGCCGTTGCGCGACGGAGATCCTGGGAAGAAAAAATCGTGTTTTGTTTCGTGCATAAGGGGCAATGCTGCAATTTAGTGGTGATGGAAGTGCTATAGGTGGTTGGTGCATGTGGGGGTGGATCTGCGACGACGGTGAGGTGGTTTTGAGTTTGTTTGTTGGTGTGGCGATGGCGATTCTCGTCGATTAGATCGGGAGAGGTGGTTGTGGTGGTTACTGTGACGACGGTGAGGTGGTTAGTGTCGCTTTGCTCTCCGTTGGTGATAGAAGTTAGTTGAAAATGATGGTTGTGGCGGTGGTTGATCGGCGGGTGATGGTGGTGGTGGAGGTGCCAACTTTTTGGGTTTTCTTTTTTTGTTTATGTTTGTGAGTTTCAGATTGGAGACGATGTTGGTGGTGTGGCGGTAAGGTGGTGTTACTACTGATTGTTGTGGTGTTTGGGTAGTGGTGGTTGTCGTGGAGGCGGTGGTAGTGGTCATAGCGATAGTGCAGAGGTGGTGGTGGTGGATCTAGCGATTTTAGTTTTTTGTGACTAAAAATTAAACCGTGACCTTAAAATTCTCCAATCTGTCATTAAAAATATAATCTGTGACCAACTATTTTGCTATCTGTGACCTAAAAATTATATAATATGTGATCGTGTGACTTAAAAATTTTGATTTGTGACCAACGAATTAACTATGACCTACAAAATTTTTGAACCGTGACCGTAAAATAATAAAAATTATTATTTGTGACGGATTACAGTTTAATATTTAATTTAATATAATAATTGTGAAATATAATTAATTAATTCGTGGAAATCTGATTTTTGCGATTTTAAAATTTGTGGTCTGATTTTTTATTTCATGATAGATAATACCTGATCTATGAATTTTTCCCAAAAAAAAAGGTCTACAAAAAGCCCAATGCCACCTATCCAAAAATGGCCCAGTTTGGAATATAAATCCAACACAGCATAAAAAGTAAAAACCATTCGCGCTGCAGCTCAGCTCGTAATCACCTAACCACGCCGTGGGCACCCAAATCTTTGTTCCGATGCCTTCAATGGATTCCGGTAACTCCACACAGAGCCGTCACAATTCTAATATCAATCAACTCAATAGACCCAAAGCAGAGCACTTTGCCAGGTCCGTTTCAGAACAGTACTAAATTTTTGTATACATTGTTCTTGTTATGTGGTTTTACTGAAAAGGAAAAACTTTGCAGGAGGCAAAATATTGAACAGCAGAGAAAATCTTTGCCAATTGCTGCAGGTAAATTTCTCTCTCTCTCTTTTATTTTTATTTATTTTTTTTTTGGCTTTTACGTCAAACAATTGTCGTACAATCTAATTGTTCTTTTGCCTTTTTGCTTGCAACGAAGTTGTTGATTTTTCCGTCTGGCTGTAAGGTTCCGAGCGGTATTTATATTATTTTGCTTATATATATATTATCGAAGGGTGTGAAAAAATTAATAAATCATCTGGAAGTAATGCGTTTCAGAAAATAAAATTTATGGGCAGTAATTCGACAGTTGTTTTATATTTGTTGGCTATGGAAGCTTGTAGATACAGTGTTAAGAACTATGAGATGCGTCTCTGGATAATAGAGTGCAGTTTAGAATGAGGGAGAATGAGATGTAGGCATAGAGTCCGAAATGTCCCTTTTCTCATTGGAAAAAGAAAAAGGCAGCTCGGGGACCCTGATCTTTTCTAGATTAATAGTTTTATCCTTATCAAATCTGCACCTGTCAAGGTTTAAGCATTATACTTATTGTTTTTATTTATATAAAGGCTTTTCTTTGAAGTTTCTCTGTGGATTTTATTTTTCATGAATGCTATGTTTTGTGTATTTCTTATATTTTTTAGAAGAGTGCAACTACTGGGTGACTTGTGTTATTTGAACATCATCTAACATAGTTTCTCTTTGACTTTAGTGAGTTGTTATTGCTTTTGTTTAAGCATCTAAAAGGTAGTTCAAAATCTTTACGTTAGTTATTTTAAAAAATTAAATTGACTTGACAATTAAACAAATATGGAACTACAGGATTATCGTTATTTCGGGCCCTTCATTTCATTTTGATACTGTTTTCAAGTTGTGATTTCCATGCCGACTTGCCTCTTATTTAAATATTTATGTACTTCCAGCTGAAAAATTACTTTTGGAGGAGGTTAGGAATAATGACACACTAATAATTGTTGGTGAGACGGGCAGCGGGAAGACAACACGTAAGTATTTTTATCCTTTTAAGTTCTAGCTGGAAATTTACTTTTCTATGCTTGAAGTGCATTGATATGTTTTTCTATTAAAGGTTGCCTTCGAAGGAAGTTGTGTAAGCAATGTGCTCGATATATTAGCGCTTAACAATGACGATGATTCATTTGGTGTACACTGTGTTACATGTTACGGATACACCGATAGATGTAGATTGGATGTGCCCTCAAAAACTTCTTGTAATACAATCACTTTCAATTATCAAAAAAGTGACAGAAAAGTCAGAAGTGCTCTTAAACCAATACATTCCATAATGCACATTTAGAATAGTCTCTCATTTCCTGTTTGTGCATGTATCCTGTGTATGCATGTAATTGTCATTAGTTTCTCTCTGTTTTACGCATAGATCTATGCACAGACACAAGTGTCCACAAGTCATTCCCTTAATTATTGGCTTATGCTTGAATAATTGGTTTTAGCTTTGTCCATATCTAGCTCTTATGTTAGAGAAAATGGAAGTTTCATTCGATAGCTTACCTAAAGATATATGATTAGGCTTTCTTAGAAAAGTTACATAAAAATGACAATAGTCCAATTTTCTTGGGTTGTACCGAGTTCATTTCTTTGTCTGGATCCACATAATGGCTATACATCTAGCTTAAGTTGATATTGATCTAGCTAAACTATACTCATGATACTATGATATAAGGAGACTGTACATAAACTGGAGTTATAAAATTATCATCACAAAAGGAGTATGAGGACTATAATATAGGGACTAGAAGAGTGATGAAAATATTTGTATGGGTGAAAGGGAAGGAAATATTATGATCCTTAGTCTAGGAGTGTGAGGACTAACGTATAAGACCTAGAAGAGTGATGAAAATATGTATAGGGTGAAAGGGAAGGAAATATTATTATCCTTAGTCTCTCCTCAAAATAGTTTTGGTTTTGTGCCTTGCTACTTTCCCCTTGGAATCCGTTGGAATTGCCTTAAATTTTACCTTGAAAGAATGAAAGGGGCCAGAACTAGATATTGGAATGTTGGGCAGAAAACGATTTCTCCTGTTCAATTTAAGATTTCCTTATTAATGGTTAAAGATCACAGTGATCATCACAGTTTGCCTTTTCAGTAAGTTCATGTCATCAATAATTTTGGACCCCTCAATAATTCTTTAGCTGTGTAGATTATACTGACACGTGCATGCAGTTTGTTTTCAGATTGATGTTGACTAAATTATTTAAGACTCCAAAGGACATAAAGGCTCTTGATTATGACTTAGCTTGACTAATGGACAAATTACTTCCCCTAAAGCCTTATCTGCATAATTTTAGCTATTTATTGATCTTCTGGAACTTATATGTGAAATTATAAACATCTTCACAGAATTGCCCCAGTATCTTAATAACGGAGGGTTCTGTCGCGATGGTGGGATAATTGGGATAACTCAGCCTAGACGTGTTGCTGCTGTCACTGTTGCAAAACGGGTTGCTGAAGAATGTGGAGTTGCATTGGGCCAAAAAGTTGGATATGCCATTAGATTTGAGGATGTGACTTCCAGCTCAACAAGGATCAAGTATATGACAGACGGATTGCTATTAAGGTGGAGAATATTTGTGCTTATGTTTTGTCTTTTTATTCATACTGTATTAGCTAAATTATTAGTAGATATTTTTGTCTTTGAATTTACATTTGCAAATGTATAGTGGGTATATAGATTATATTCTTATTCAACGAGTAATATTACATGTTAGCTAAGTATTCTTAAAAGAGGATCCTTTAATGAATTAACATATGATGTCTGAATATTTTTACAGAGAAGCGTTACTTGATTCATATCTCTCCAAGTATTCTGTTATTATCGTTGATGAGGCTCATGAGAGAACCGTCCACACTGATGTATTGCTCGGCTTATTGAAGACTGTACAAAAGACGAGGTCTAAAGGTGTCAGTGATGCAGCAGATATTGATCATAGGGAAGTCAAGAATGGCATGCTGTTGGAAAAGCACAATGGTTCGGAAGTTGCCAGTACTATGAAGCATTGCCGAGGCAAGAAATTGTCTCCTCTGAAGATTATTATTATGTCTGCCAGTCTAGACGCACGGGTTTTTTCCGAGTACTTTGGTGGTGCAAGAGCTGTGCATGTGCTGGGTCGACAGTACCCTGTTGATATACTCTATACTCGTCAACCTGAGACTGATTATGTAGATGCAGCTTTGATTACCATATTTCAGGTTGTTACTCAATCCTCTTTTTGTCCTGATTGCATATTAAATTATCAAACATATGTTTAGCAAACCTTAAAATGAAGGATACAATATTGCTAAGTTTGATCTTTTAGGCTGAATCCAATTACTGGAAAGAGTGGTGGCTCCCTTCCCCTAGAAATTCAAAGTTGAGTAAAAAGCTTTTGTATTTTGATTTTCCTCAGAAACCTTTATTTATGAAAAAGAGTACCTGAGCTAACACACAGCTAAACATAAAGATCTCCGCACTTTATTTTTTATTTTGGCTGTTTTATTTACTGTCTTTAACTGTGGGATTCTGTTAATATTGTGTGTTAAAGCCTTTTCTGATGGAATTAAAAGGGTAACAATATTGAGAATTCTTAACAATTTTTTTTCTTAGCTGACCTTGAGAAAGGATTGAATATAAATGCACATGTATCTTTCCCTCGGTTACATTTTTATGAACTTTTACTTTTTATTTGAAAATTTCTTGATTTAAAACATGATAGTTTCTTTAGTGATCTTGTTGCCATCAAGCCATAGTAACATATATTTTTGTGTCTTCAGATAATCGATAATTTCAAATCAAGCACTCTTCTATATTTCAAATCATTATTGTAGTCTTCCAATTAGTTCAATTAAATCAATTAAATTAATTGCAAGAGAATTTTATGCCACACTAGAGTAAAATCCTGCTTGCCCTCTCCCAATAAGTAGGAGATAATTAGTCTGTTGTGCTTATTTACTTTTTCTTTCCACGATCTTGCATTGTCTTGTAGCATTTAACTTCAAACTTTTGTTTTTCTCCCATATAATTGTGGAAGTCTCTTAATATTTCTCCTCAGATACATATAGAGGAAGGTCCTGGCGATATACTCGTGTTCTTGACTGGCCAAGAAGAAATAGAATCTGTGGAAAGGCTTGTCCATGAGCGCCTTCCACAATTGTCCGAAAGCAAACGGAAGCTTTTGACCTTTCCAATATTTTCATCTCTTCCATCAGAGAAACAAATGAAAGTTTTCTTGCCTGCCCCAATTGGGTTTCGAAAGGTAGTTATTTTCTCCTTCAAAGATATTTTGTAAGTTTTTTAGCTTACACAAAAGCTTTATGAGATGTTGATTGGATAAGGCAAATGCTACCTCTTCATTGAAATTGTGCCCATGTCTGTTATATGCAGTATTTTGTATAAAAATAAGTTTTTTATGTACCCAGAAACTATACTAAAAGTATGATTTGCAAATTGAGCATCATTTAGAATATTGTCTGACTAAGGAACTGTCCAGTTTTAGTTGTTTATGAACATTCTCATGGCACAAATGCCTAGAGAAGAAAAGAAGTTCCTGGATTTTGTCAGGAAGTGTTAGTGTTGTCCACCTGCAATTGTGATACTCTTTTTGATGCCGTAAAAGTCTTCAGGTCATACGAACTTAACCACACGCTTGTCTGCCTGCATTTGCTGTTCAGGTAATATTAGCTACCAATATTGCTGAGACATCAGTGACAATACCAGGAATCAAGTATGTCATTGACCCTGGAATGGTGAAAGTACGCACGTACGAGGCATCTACAGGGATTGAACCATTAATCGTCGTCAAAACTTCAAAAGCACAAGCACTTCAGAGGAGGTAGAGCTACTAAACTTTCTTACATTTATACTGGGGGAAAAGTTGAGAACTATGATTTATTTATTTATTTTGTATCTGGAGCGTCAAATTGGCTCAGCTTATTTCATTATTTCCAGTGTGTTCTGCAAGTGAGTACTGAGTACATTAAGTCAGATACTGTAGCATAGCTAACTCTGTTTTCCAAATAATACGTGATTAACATTGCCTGTGGATTCTCTTAAAGTGGGACTTTAAGAAACAATCAAATGTGAATCTAATTTCTAGTATCATTTGAAGTAAAATTAATGGGTAGTTAAATTGCATCTTCTTGTTACGAATTCATTACATACCCCCTGTCCCTTGAGCATGAATAGGAAGAAGGCGACTGAAGAAAGTAAGGCATGGTAAACCTATTGTCATTTACCAATATCTACGATCAAATGATACTTAAAAGTTTTATAATCCCTGTTACAGTGGACGTGCAGGCCGTGAAGGACCTGGGAAATGCTACCGTCTTTACCCAGAGAGTGAATTTGATAAGCTCAAGGATTCCACGACACCTGAAATTAAAAGATGTAACCTATCAAATGTTATTTTGCATCTTAAAGCTCTAGGCATTGATGATATTATCGGCTTCGACTTCATTGAACAACCAGACAGGTGAGTATGAAAATGGAGGTGCATTGTTTGCATATGACAGTTGTGTAGATGTGTAGTTGTCCATATCTGAATTTTCTCTTGGTGAATATGTCAAATAAGCATGTGTATTATTTTCTTGTTTCCTCTAATGTGTTATTTGAACTTCATCTGGTAGTCAAATTTGGGACCTTGTGTGTTTCACTTAAATTGTAAATTTTCAAAGCCAACTTAAGATTCAAAATTGCTGGTTTCCAGGTGTGATAATGGTGTTAATGTGAACGGTTGATTTCTAGGGGATGAAAATTGTGGTGAAAAACTGAAATTCGGTTGAAGCTTTGAAAAGTTAACAAGCGCGTGAAAATTTTAAAGCTGAGTTGAAACCTCAGGGCATGTCGAGTGCCTCGTGCATAACTTGCACCATTTTGTGTAATGTATTTAATGGATGAAAATAAATGATTAAAATACAGCTGAATTTCTATGTGATTTGACTAGTATTTAGTGTTAATTTCATCAATCCTATGCTTTCTCTTTGCATATTGTTTGAAGGTTTATTCTTTATTACCCACACCACCTTTCTTGAGTATGATTATAAAATAAATTGCGTCTTAATTGCCATTGGTTATTGATATTTGGTTTTTTGAAGAATCTAACATTTGCTGTATAGGAATTCATCTCAGATTGATTTTTACTGTGCCTTCTATGTATCCATGCAGGATTTCTATCGTGAAGTCGATGGAGTTGTTATTCTTGTTAGGTGCTCTAACAGATGAAAGTAAATTGTCTGATCCAGTGGGGCAAAAGATGGCCAGGCTTCCACTGGATCCTATTTATTCCAAGGCTCTCATTATTGCCAGTGAATTTAACTGCTTGGAAGAAATGTTAATAGTTGTTGCAATGCTCTCTGTGGAATCTATCTTTTATGCTCCCCGTGAAAAGTTGGAAGAGGTATGGACCGTATGACCTTCTAAAGTTTTGTGTTCGATGTTATATGCTTTAAGATCTTTGGTGCACACTACTAGACAACACTTGACTCAATGGATACAATAAGTAAGATATTAACTTCTTTGTCTTTCTTATGTCAACTATTTAGTCTACCTTACCAAACAAGCATAAATGGCAGGATAAATATCGGGCATATATATATATATATATATACACATATATACAGAAATGATCTAATGNAGCTGATATCTAAAAGTCCTTTCTGGTTGGCAGTCTCGGAATGCTTTAAAAAGCTTCTCAAGTCCAGAGGGGGATCATTTGACTTTCCTGAAGGTATATCGTGCTTCTGATGAGTTCTTGCAGAAGAGCAACTTAGTGAACAGTAAAGAAAAAGCTGAAAAAAATCTCAGAAAATGGTGCAAGGAAAATTTTATCAATAGCCGGTCCCTGAAGCATGCTCGTGACATCCACAGGTTGGTAATGTCCATTTGACCAGATATTAATGGCAAACCTCAAAGTTAACTGAATTATGCTCCTGATTATGAACTTCTTTTAATTGAAATTGTTCTTTAATATATTAAATATTAACATTCCATATTGTAAGGGTTTCTAAGATTTTAGTTTCGAACTATGATATCTCAAAGACAGACTGTATTCTTTTGGTATTATATCCCTTTTTTGGCAGAGAAAAATAATTGTTCTCCTCTGAATGAAGTTTCTCTAGATATCTATTTCTAAATTTCATTTAGCTCTTCATTTGTAGTCAAATACGGAGGAATGCAGAACAAATGGGTCTCCTTGTCACTTCATGTGGAGACGACATGCTTCCTTTTCGCAGATGCCTAGCTGCTTCCTTTTTTCTTAATGCAGCTTTGAAGCAGCCTGATGGTACATACAGGTAGGTGTTTATAATTGTTTGGCAGTACTTCCTAAAACAAAATTATTTAATTTATTTTTTGAGGTATTACCATTATTTGTTAAGATTTTAATATCCTAAACAACAATCACTTTGTGCATTTTCTTTGTGTCATGACAGGGCTTTGTCAAGTGGTCTTACGGTGCAAATCCATCCGTCATCTGTTTTATTCCGGATGAAACCTGAGTGCATAATCTTTGATGAATTAGTCCGAACTAATCATAATTATATTCGAAACATTTCTAGAATAGATTACTTGTGGTTAGCTGAGCTGGCTCCTCAATGTTATGCCCTGCAGGAATAGTAATAGAAGTTCCATGGGGGGTAAGAACTATTCTGTTATTTGGGATTCAATTTTTTTTTTTCAAATCTGAATTAAATGCTGGCTTGAATTTGATTGAAGTTCATGGTTCAATGGCTTGGATTTCATTGTATTCCAAGTGAACTTTCAATGTTTGAATCTCTCTTCATTGAAATACCTCAAGCTGAGATTGTGGCCTCACCATGTCGGCCGGGGAGATATAGTTAACTGTTGTGATATTGGGGATGATTTTTGTTCTTAATATGTTCAGGTTTAACGTTAACTTTGTCTTGCAACAGCAAAGAGGAGGGAGCATATGCATATCTTTGCTCCATATAGATGGGGGACTTGCTCTTGAAGCTGGACTTTCATGCTAGGAGGCAATCTTTATGGTTGCCTCACGGGGAAAAGTTTACAAACACGTGCTTCAGCAGCTGGGATAAACTTGGTGAACATCTAGGACGAGATGTTTAAATGCCTTTGCTTGATCTTTACTGAAGATTTATAAATACGATGGTTTGTGAAAGCATTTGCAAATGATATAGTTGGTGGAGAGTGCTTTTGCTTTAGCAAGTGGATCTTTGCATCGTCTAAATGATTTTTGTCGAAGAGCATGTGCAGGTAGGATGCTGTAGCTACTCTAAGGGCACATTGAGACGAGATATCCTTTTCTATAGCATTATCAAGATCAGTTTAATCTGTCTTCTTCTCTACTGAACAAGGTACTAGGAAACGTTGTATTTATTTTAAGTAGATTATGGAAAATGGTGTAGTTGTCAATGTACGGCTTTTCTGCATGCAAGGTTACACAACACTAGTAAAAGAGGTTACGATGTGATTTGACAATTAAGTATTCATTTTGTCGTAGCTCCAAGCCTCTTGCAAAAACCTCCACCATGAGGGGAATGCCATCGCACAACTTGATCTTCAGTTCCCAAGCCTAGAAATTCCTTTGCCTTCATTATAATGGGTTCTCTGGCCAGGATTATCTGGACTCGAGTATCATCTACGGCTACAATTTCGACTTCTTGGATTAATCATCTACAAAGGCCCCATCATATAATAGCTTCACTGAACCATACAAGTACCTACTCATTAACAATGAACAAAGAGAGCATGCAAAAGAGCAGAAGTTGCCTCCTTCAGTCTCAGCAGGCTCTTGCATTGTAAATTCAACTGACAGTAAAATTATTGGTTAGTAAAATTAACCTGAATCCTTGTGCTATCAAGTAATGATAATAACCTGGATTCCCAAGGTTGATTGGCCGTCCTTCCGTTGGTCGAATAAGACCATCAATCTTCGTACAACAAAAACAAATTAGAGTACTGCCATACGATACATCATCGGATACTTCTAATTGAACAGAAATAAAGGAAAAAAAGGATCTTTCGCCATACCATGTCAGCTACATAACAAAAGCTTCGAGTTTGTTTTCCAGGCAACTGAAGTGTCGAAGGTTCACCACTGCACACTACAGCTTAAAAGCGTGATGTGCTTAAAGTAAATTATGCAAAACATGTCGAACACAAGAAAAGAATACTTTAAAAAGTACTTTTTTTGAAGCTTAGCAGAACATGCTGTCAGAAAGTGGCAATGAGCAGCATGAAGCTCGAAGGCATGGAATTGATGACAACTCGACCGTCATCAGTAAGTGTTGAAGATTCTTTGGATCGTTATTCCGTTGTCAAATCACTTGTTAACAAACAAACATGTTTCACATTATTTTACTTCACGTAAAATGGAAACTACATCAAATCTCTCTGATATTCGCCTCCTGTCTGTCACCATCAAGGCGTCATTGGTATTCCATACATTGGTAAAATTGAATAGCGTTGTTCTGTTAAAACTGATCACTAAACAGTGCCTGGATGAAAACGTATCTCATTTTAAGTTGTATCCATATCCAAAATTCATTTTAACGATTCAATTTCAGAAAAGCGTAGATATATAGAAATAAGTTCTTTTTTTTTTTTTAAAGAAATTTGATCGATTAATTTTGCCTTCCTTGATGGTGAAGGTGACTGATATTCCTCAGTGGATCCTAGTGAGTGATTGATTTATTTACATAAGAAGCAATTTAGTCTCCATATTTTAAAAAGGAGCAAGTTGGTCTTCGCACTGTTAACGTCAGTATACAGATTCCATCTTATATCTTTTTAAGCTTTAGCCAAATATGCTCCAACCGACAGTAGGTACACCCAACATCAACTGAAACAAACTACCAAAGCTCAACTATTGTGAATCAACAATGTATCACGTCTTCAGCAACAAATGTCAAGCTGTACAATATTATCCCCACACCAGTACACGAGTAATCATATAAATCATACGATACAAAGATAAGAAATCGTTCAAATTAGTGAAATATTTTAAAATACAGGACAATGACGATGGCCAGGATGAGGGCAGCAATTATCGAGACAACGATCCACTTATTCCGGCTAATTCTTCTGGACATTGAAGTCAAGATCTTTTTACTTTTGTCAATGGCATCATCAACATCATAAAGCTGCAAAGAGAGGGAGAGATTCTAATCAAAACATGGCCTAGACAGTAGCTACAGAAGGATCTACAAAATAAGTAGATGACTTGGAACACAGACTCCAAGAGAACCGCTTGTTGCATAATTGCAATATCGGATTAGACAAGACTCAACGCTATTTAGGTAGAAAAATGAGCTAAAATCTTGTTCATTAGTCTTACCATGTTCTGCATACCAAATATAAACTTAATGAAAAACACAAGCAATGTCATAAAGAAATCTTAAACGGTGAGTGACACGTGCCTTCTTATGGGAATGTAAGAGAGTTTCACGTTGCTGTTGCAGATCTTCAAGAATTGACACTCCAAGCTCTTCTGTCTCAAGTGCAGCTCTTCGACTCTCCTTGATTCGGTCAGTCGATTGATCGAGCCTCTCAGTTGACATTGTCAGTCTCTCTCTCTGATTTGCAGAAGCCTGTTTCATTTGGAAATGATTATTTCAATCTTAAGGTAAGAAATGCTATGCATGGCAGGTAGGAAAGAGGAGTACAACTGGCAAGAAAAACAATCCAGCAAATGACAAATGGGCAAGGAGGATGGTTTAAATGTAGAGTAAGCAACAAGGAGACGACCAATGATTTAGCTAAAAAATATGTCTCGGGAGGATAACCAAGTCAACCCTACTCAACTCGTCTCTTTGATACAAGCTAACACAGCATAATAAAATAGGATAATAGACAGCAAGAACATAAATACCATGATACAAATATTGAAATCTTCAACAAACATGCATCTAGATTAAATATATCTAATCTACAAGATCTCATCATGATATCTGTCGCCTAGTATGTCTAGTTGATCCAGGAATTGAAAACCAATGACCATAACAGATACTGAATCATAATATTAATGTTCTTCAAAATAAAATAATGCACATGATATAAAATAAAAGCCTTCACTCATTGTGCAACCGGACATGACTGAATTATCTCCTGTGAGGCAAAGTCATTTGCAATTCTCCGTGCAATAAATAGATACATTATATCTTGACAAAAAAATTCAGCAGGGCAACTTAATACAGGCATACCAAATTTGCACCCGCCGTTCCAGATTCTAACAACTCTTCATGGCCAGGAATGTTCGAATTAGGCGAAGCTAGTCTTTTAACTTCCCTTTTCAACTTATTCAGATCGGATTTATATTCCCTGAGCTTAGCAAGTAGTGTAGCTTTCAAGCTTGGCTGCAAACTTCTTGCCTCAAGATCCATTTTCCGAATCTGGGAAATATAACTCATTTTAGGTTAGTACGGAGAGAAAATCATAACAAGGTAAAGGTGGGAAGCTTATGCATTACCAAAACATCAGCATCATCCAAAGCTACTTGAAGTTCAGAAATCTCTTGTTTCTTTTTCTCTGAAGATAATAAAAATACAATTATCAGAGCCCACAAAGAGATGAGTTTCAACAAATAACTATAAGATGATATAAAAGCGAGTAAATAATGCCACATTCAGACCAGTTAAGCGTTCAAAGTGTAAGATGCTGAGTAAGAGCATATTTGGCTAAACTCAAAAGTTCCTTTCAAGTAACATTTTTTGTCAACTATGTCTGAGCTCTTCTAGAAGTTACCCTTTTTTCCATTTTTATTTATTTACGTATTTATTTATTGAGATTTTTAGTTCAGAAATTTACTTATTTTTGTAAAAATACTTTTTAAGTCTTTCTAAACCTAGCCAAACGTGCTCTAAAACATTGATTGATCCCACAGAGCAAGTTGCATCTCAGTCTTATTTCTTAAAAAGAGAATGAACTTTACAATTGAAAGAGGAATTAATTTCAGATGGAATATCATTAGAAAATATCATGATGCAGCTGAACCAGAATTAAACAAATAAATAAATAAGGGAGATGTGGATGTATAAACATAAATATGAGAAGCACTCAGATTGTCTGGATGTACTTTAAGTGTGGCATTAACTTTTCCTTAATTTATTACCACTGGAGGGGTCAGTTTCAATTATTTATGCAAAATGTGGTTCAAAATTTTCGCTGACAAGAAAATTTGAGACATAATTCAATAAAACAATTAAAACTATCCTAACAGCCAAAAAAAACACTTATCCCAGCTCCCCCTAAAAAAAACTCACATTTATTACAAATCCACTATGTTACTCATTAACAATACTGTTTTAAAACTAAAAGTGAGAGGAGAGAAGAGATTTGAAAAACTTTCATTTCTTTCTGAAATATAGAAATACATATTCACTGCCTTCAATTACAAAAGGGAAGATATCCTCAAAACAAGTTCTATGAAAAGCATTTGCATCACTGCCTAATTTTACACAGGACTTCACATAGGCACCACTTAATTGGCAAATAAGATCAATAATATCAAGGAGTTTGTCCAGATGTGCAAGGATACTTAAAACCCTCCCCGTTAATGAAACCACCCATCAAACCAAAATATACAATTCCTGATCCAGTATGCCTAAAACTAGGTTGCAAAATTTAGAATCTACATCCCCAAATTCAGCAATCAGACAGTTGCAACCCCAAAATATTATAATTTCCAAGTTGTGTTCATGTAATGTAAATTTTACCTCCATTTCTTTAAAAATTTCAAAAGTTTCTCTACATAATTTTTTCATTTGGACAGACATACATCTATTCATGTATATATAAATTCTTCGCATCAGTAAACTAGGCGCACTCCTGTAAATAAACTAAGTTCTTAGCCCAATTATCATCAAGAGATAAAACTAATCACGATAACTCAAGAAACACATGTTACTGTAAATGACCTAGAATAAAAAATAATTAAAATTATTCGAAAATTTTGAACTAAAATGTGAAATTGAAAACGCTTATCGTACCTCCATCGAGAAGAGAAGCGGCAGAGTTGCATTTTCTTGACAAATTTGCAGACAGCTCACAGTACTGCCTTTCATATCCTTGATAAACCTCGCTCATCTTTCCACCCAAATCCCTAATCAATTCAAACCCCAGAATAGAAAACGTCAACCTTTTGATCAAGCATAAAAAAATTTCATAGTTTAAATAACATAAAACCACCATCCAATCAAATGGAAAAGACCCAGTTCATCAAAATTCAAGAAATTGAACAAACAAGAAAATTAGTAAAACTAAAAGACTTTTAAGATAAATACGTAAACTGTAAACATGTTCGGCGTTGCAGGACCTGGAATTAATGAGTTTGCAAAGGCAGAAACGAACGAGTTGACTCCGATCGGAGGTGACTGGGATGAGGAAGAAACTGTTGTGAGGACCTAGATTTCAGAGGGATTCGGAGGGTAGAAACGAAGAAAATAAAGAAAATAGGTAGGAATGAAGAAAATCTTTAGTTTCTCTCCGGTCCACAACTTTTTAGTAATTGCAAACTATACCAATATTAGTAATTAATTAATGGGTAATTAGCAGAAATGGTCCATATCGTTTACATTCATTGCTAAAATAGTCCATATCGTTTTAAATTTGATATTTATACCCTTATTTCAAACATTTGTTGCCGAATTGGTCATTTCTATCCACTTCCGTTAAATGAGGCAAAATGGTTTTGAATTTTTCTTATTTTTGTCTCCATTTTGGGGAATTATTACGGGTGTCAAACGAATTCAAAATATTTCATTCTTAATACCATTTCGAAGTGCTCACGATCTAATTTTCTTCATTCCTAACGGCATGCGAAACGGCCAATCGTAGCGAAAGTTACCATTCATCAAAGTAAGCATTTCCAAACTATATAAACGATTTTTCTTATTTTTGTCTCAATTTTGCGGGATTATTACGGGTTGTCAAAAGAAGTCGAAATACTGCATTCTTAATACTATTTCGAAGTGCTCACGACCTAATTTCTCACATCCATAACGGCGTGCGAAACGACCTACCCTAGCAAAAGTTACAATTCGTCGAAGTAGGCCGTTCCAAAATATATAAAAAAAAATTTCTTATTTTTGTCTCAATTTTGCGAGATTATTATGAGATATAAAACGAAGTCGAAATATTGAATTTTTAATACCATTTCGAAGCGCTTACGACTTAATTTCCCCCATCTCCAACGACGTGCAAAACGGTCAACCATAGCGAAAGTAACCACTTGTTGAAGTAGGCCTTTCCAAAATTGAGACAATTTTTTTTTTTTCCCTTATTAAACCATTTTGCCTCATTAAACGGAGGATTTAACGGAAGTGAACGGAAATGACCAATTCCGCAACAAAGGTTGAAATAAGGGTATAAATATCAAATTTAAAACGACATGGACTATTTTAGCAATGAATGTAAACGATAGGAGCCATTTCTGCTAATTACCCTTAATTAATTATTAAGCTCCCATTTGACCCCATTTTTTTGGGAAAATATATTTTGGAATAGTGATATTTTGAAAAATGTGATTAAAAGTAGGAAAAAAAAATTAGGTTCCCGCCTAAAATTATTTTATGAAAGAATGTATAGTTAAAATAAGGGTAATTGGCGCAAAATGTCATTACCTTTGCCTGTCTTTGTGGAAAACGTCACTACCTTTCGTTTCTTGACGCAGAACGTCCTACCTTTCAGTTTTTTTACGCAAAATGTCATTTTCCCTAATTTTTAACGTAAAATGACCTATATACCCTCTAATTTAAATAAAACAAAAAGGAAAAGAAAAGAAAAATAAAAAACAAATTGCAATCTACTCCTAGACTTATTTAAAAAGGCAAATCAGTCTAAAACTTATGAAAATATTAAAAATAACAAAAACACACTCTCTCTCACCTCCACCTAGTCATCGCCGCCGCCGCCAAAATTTGGACTAACTGCCAAATGGGGACTGATATTTGGCCGTCTGTCCATCTCCCATCCTTCTCTCCCTCCCTCCCCCCTCCCATCACGCTTCCTCGATCCTATGCTTTTTTCAAAATTCTTTGTACTTCACCATCCCCCTGTCTTACAGCTAAATTCCCCAAATTTCACTCAAAACTCAAATTTCTCAATTCTCAAAACTCCACAACAATTAGGCAAGGAACTCCGCCCAACCCCGACTATAATCCTATTGATATCAGAATTGAACTCAAACAAATGGCTAAGATGATCCACAATGGCCTTACAGACAACATAAAATCCTCGGCAGGCGGTAGGGGAGTCAATAGAGAAGAGCTGTGAGATTGCAGAGAAGGAGTAGCGTGAGCTAGGCGGAAGAGGGTGGCAGCGACTGCAGCATTGGGTGGCAAAGGGTGGAGGGAGGTCAAAGAAGGAGTAAGAAGACTAAGAAGGAGAGTAAAAGAAGGCTTAGAGAGATTAAAAAATTGAACCCACCTCGGATCATAATCATGAGAGGACAAAAATCAGTGGAACCAATTTTCTGGCCCCAGCGACGGTGGTGGTGGTAGGGTGCGTGTTAATGGGAAGGAGATGAGAGAATGGAGGCCAGTGAGCGAAATGGCAGTGGAGGAGAGAAGGGATTCCAAGGTGAGAGACTGGGAAGGGAGG